TTTGCTGGCGGAGGCGGAGGGGCTGAAGCTGCACTTCTCCAGCGGCAGCACCACCGGCTACAAGGGGGTGCGCAAGCACACCCAGCAGGCTGGCCGCTTCGAAGCGCGTCGCTACGAGGGGAGCAGGACCATCTACATCGGCGTCTTCGACTCGGCGGTGGAGGCGGCGGTGGCCTACGCGCGGGCGGTGGGGGAAAGGCGGACGTAGAAGACGCGCGCTGCAGAGCGTGCAGCTAAGTACGTCGGCCCATCCGGACACGCTGTCTGTGTACGGCCGGGCCCCGGGCGAAGGTAAGTAAGGTAAGGTAAACACTTCGTCTCCACACACACGAGGTGGTGGGGCAAGGGGGGGCGACCCTCGCGTCTCCACGTCTAACGACAGGAGCCCCACGGCATTAAAAGTGCAAGGCCCAGTGCGCGTGTGGGTGTGAGCGGCGTGTGTGTGTGCGTGTGTGTGTGTGTGTGTGTGTGTGTGTGTGTGTGTGTGTGTGTGTGTGTGTGTGTGTGTGTGTGTGTGTGTGTGTGTGTGTGTGTGTGTGTGTGTGTGTGTGTGTGTGTGTGTGTGTGTGTGTGTGTGTGTGTGTGTGTGTGTGTGTGTGTGTGTGATCTGTGATCTGTAAGGGTCCGCCCGCGCAGGCGCATTTTGTATACCGAGGCGGTGCCCGGTGCCGAACCTGTCGGACCTTAAGACAGCATTGTAGATCCCTGGGCGAGGGTGGTGGAGAGGGCGGCCCGTCGGCGCCAAACCACCTCCCACCGAGGCGGGCAGGTTCCACGCGTTCCCGGACCGCCCCGTTGGAGGTAGACCGCTCGTCTAGCCAATCAGCCTTAAGCGAGCGGTCTGGCCGTTGGAATGGCCGAGGTTGGTGGACTTGCGTCCTCGCATCGATCATGGTTTTACGAGCATTGTTAAGTTCCACTACGATTGACCGCGCAAGATATAAAGGGTGTCCTAAGGGCTCTGCCCGCAAGGCGCCCGCGTCGCAGACGCGGTACCATTGACAAATCTGCGATATACCCCCACACGAGCAAATAGCAAAATCCGAATACCGTGCACGAACTGGGCGATGTCGGCCGTGCAAGCCTTCAGCTGGTGCCAAGACATCTTACCTTATATTTCCCCGCGGCCGGTTTTCCGTTTCAGGAGAGTGAAGCCGCCACCCAGCACACATGTACATGGACATGGACATGGACATGGACATGGACATGGACATGGACATGGACATGGACATGGACATGGACATGGACATGGTGCCCCTCGGCAAGGAGCGCGCTCCGGCGCCGTCCACGACGTCGTCCGCCGCCGAGGACGCGGCGCCGGCGCAGCACTAGGCGCGCCGGCGTCATCCGGCAGGCGCAGCCGGAGGCGCCTGGGCATCAGCTCGCCGCCTCGCACGCTGCTGCAGAGAAGCGCAAGGCCAACAAGATGACGCTGACGGAGCGCAAGGCGAAGCGCGCGGCCGACCAACAGCGGCGGCGGGCCGCCGCCCGGTTCAGCATGGCGAGCTCTCCCCGCCTCCTCTCGCCGCCTCCTCTCACCGCCTCCTCTCGCCGCCTCCTCTCGCCGCCTCCACTCACCGCCTCCTCTCGCCGCCTCCTCTCGCCGCCTCCACTCACCGCCTCCTCTCGCCGCCTCCTCTCTCCTCTCAGCGCCTCCTCTCGCCGCCTCCTCTCACCGCCTCCTCTCTCCTCTCGCCGCCTCCTCTCGCCGCCTCCTCTCGCCGCCTCCTCTCGCCGCCTCCTCTCGCCGCCTCCTCTCGCCGCCTCCTCTCGCCGCCTCCTCTCGCCGCCTCCTCTCACAGGGGACGGCCAGGTAGTAGACGTCGTCCGCCGCCGCCTCCGCCGCCCGCGTGCCTCCGCCCCGCTCAGCAAAAAATCAGCATTATATCAGGAGGTGCCAAAGCAGCTGCATCTCCATGAGGTCAGCGTCGTTTCTTGCGTTTTGCCGCCGCGCGCTGTCGCCGCGCCGGGTGGCTCCGGGTTCGAATCGCGGCCTTCGCGGAGCGAACGCGGCGACCTTGGCGCGCCTCGCGCACGTGCGCGCCCGCGACGAGACGAGACGAGAAGGAGAAGTAGACGTTGATGTTTTTGCTGCCGCGGCCGCGCCGTGAGCTCGCGTCTGTTTTGGCGCCGACGACGCGACGCGCCCCGCCGCGCGAGATGGCGCCGCCGCGGGGTCGGCGCCGCGATCAGCCGCGCGCCAGCGGCGAGCGGCGCAGCGCGGCCACCATGCGGCGCGACGTGCCCGCCGAAGTTTTTATTTTTAAAAGTTTTTTTTTCTCAGCGTGCAGGCTCCCCGAAGCGCACTGCTGGTGCTCCCTCGACAAGCCCAACCGCCCCCTCCTCCTCCTTCCTATTTGACACCCTCCATGGACGCCGTGTGCGAGCCCTGTCCACCGCCTGCGCAGCACAGCAGCGATGCCGCCGCCAGCAGCAATGCTGCCGGCGCGACCCACATGCGCAACCCGCGCCCGCGCCGGTGGAAGTCGCGGCTAATCCA